TAAAAAGAGGTATCTTTCAAGGTGATGCGTTGAGCCCCTTATGGTTCTGCCTAGCCCTTAACCCACTCTCTAACATGTTAAACAAACACAATATTGGATTCATAATTAAACACAACTCAGAAAGTACAAACCTCACTCATCTCATGTACATGGATGATATAAAACTATTCGCTAGCACTCTCAATGAAATACACACCCTCGCTGACATCACACAAACATTTTCAAATGACATCTGCATGGAATTCGGAATAGATAAGTGTAAAATTCAATCAGTCATCGGTGGAATAGCTGAACCTACAATGTACGAACTAGGAAATCAAGAAATCATAGAATCAGTAGACCCTGACGAGGGATATAAATACCTAGGTTATTTCCAGTCAAAAGAAATTCACCATAAAAACACCAAAAAGATACTACAACAAAATTTTCGAAACAGACTTCATAAAATACTACACACCCATCTTAATGCAAAAAATACCGTTAAAGCAATAAACACTTTCGCTATTCCTATACTGACTTACTCTTTTGGTATCATTCGATGGACACAAACAGACCTCACCACACTTCAAAGAATTATCAACACCACAATGACAAAACATAGGAAACATCACCCCAGGGCATGCATTCAAAGGCTAACGTTGCCTAAAATTGAAGGTGGTAGAGGTCTTATCGACATAACAAATCTTCACAATAACCAAATAACACTACTTAGATCATTCTTCTTCAAGCGCTCACAACACTCACCACTACATAAAGCCATATGTCAGGCAGACTCATTCACGCCACTTCATCTAGCAAACCACACAAAACAAATGACCATAATCAGCAAAGAGCAGAAGATACAGACTTGGACGCAAAAATCGCTCCATGGCCGTCATCGTCTCGACTTAACCAACCCTATTGTTGACAAGATAGCGTCAAACGCATGGTTAAAGCGAGGCGAGCTGTTTCCAGAAACAGAAGGCTTTATGTTAGCAATCCAAGATCAAGTCATAGACACCAAAAATTATAGGAAATATATAATCCGAGACAGTACCCTTGGCAGTGACCATTGCAGACACTGCCACAGACAACCAGAAACAATTCAACACATTACAGGCGCATGCTCATCCATCACACAAACAGACTACAAACACAGACACGACCAGGTTGCAGCTATCATACACCAAGCACTTGCACACAAACACAAACTCATTGCAGAAAAAGCACCATACTACAAGTATACACCCCAAATCATCCTAGATTCACCTGAATTTAAAATGTACTGGGACAGAACCATACTCACCGATAAAACCATTCATCACAACCGGCCTGACATCACGCTTCACGACAAGAAGAACAAAGCAGTATACCTAATAGACATAGCGATCCCCAACACACATAATCTCAGTTCCACCCATACTAACAAACTTTCCAAATATGCAGACTTGACTATTGAACTTAAAACCCAGTGGCAAGTCCACACAGTCAAAACAGTTCCTATTATTATATCTAGTACAGGCGTCATCCCCAAAACACTTCATACAAGTCTAAAGTCCCTTGACTTACATCCACTTACATTCACACTTCTACAAAAAGCTGTCATACTTAACACATGCCGAATTGTCAGGAAGTTTTTATCTATTGATTAATTACTATAAAATCATCATCTCCAAGGTTGCTTTGGCGACAAGCCCGCAACTCTGGTGTATTTCCCCAGAAATGGGTGAGGTTCTTACCTAAAACACAAAAATAATAATAATAATAATAATAAATCTTTATTTCGGAATCATTACACTCCATATTTTACAAAAAAAAAAAAACAACCAAAACGCCAACCTCTCTACACTATTACAACATTCCAAAAAACAAAAAAATTCCAAAAAACAAAAACACAAAATAAACTAAAAAATACAAAAACAAATATTACGCTGCAATCTGTAACCATTTAATTGTTTAGTTTTATAAAGATGGAATTTGTAACTTGATTACAAAATGGATGTAGACGTATTAAGTGCAGCTACCCAAAATAACAATACTTAATGCTACTGTTCATAATCTTCTTGCTGAGAAACGACCTAATTTAAAATTCAACCAATCAAAAACCATTAATTCAAAAAACAACAGTCAACCAAAAAATCCCAAAACGAAACATCCCTCAAAAAAAAACAAACGTTCTAACTTCAAAAATATTTAAAACCACAAGAAAATTCCACGTTCGAAACGTGCAAAAGGCTAAAAGCAATTTAGCCAGTATTTTCGTCAGTTCATCCGACCGTTGCTGCCGACTTGTCACGCTTCGGGGAATCGCATCGGTCGTATCTGTCGAAGCGTGTCGCACCGTGTGCAGCCAGCCTTAGGCATCGGATATTGAATCGGCCACTCTAAAGTTTCGGATATCGTTTTAAAGGAAATTGTTAATATTTTGTAGAAATTAATTTGTTCCTTGTATTTATTTAGATGAGATTGCTTTGAAATACAATTTAAATGGTTCTTTGAAGGTTGTAGAGATAGATTCGTTGGTAGTAATTAAGGATAGATTTTTGGTGGTGTTCAAGCAAGATAGTTATTATCATTATTAGGTATTTATATGGTAAACAATGATGTTCTAAAATTCTATAATTCTTATAACCGATAAAACTCAAGGTTATTAAGAAAAACATTGTCTTGTTAAAGGAAAATGTGATCAACAAAAACTTTCTACTATAATAATCAAAACTGCCTTCAAACCAGATATAAATCCTTACTAATATTATAAATGGGAAAGTGAGTTTGTTTGTTTGTTCCACTATCACGCCGTAGCTACTAAACCGATTGCTTTGAATTTTTGCAGACGTAAAGTTAAATTAGTCCGGATTAAATAATAGGGTACTTTTTAATCTTTTTAAATTTGACATTCCCGAGGGAAAATACAAGTATTGGTATAGATGGCGCTGTGTGTATTGGTATATGTCACATAGGCTACTTTTTATCCGTTTGTGACGCGAGCGAAGCCGCGGGTAAAAGCTAGTATCATATATTTCTTTCAAAGGAAAAAATAAACACCTGTATTTCACTGCCTCGATTAGCAGCACCACCTAAAATAAACCAAAAAACATTCGTTTGACAACAAAGTGACTTCAAAATGTTACAACCAGGGAAATATGTGGCGACGCCATTAAAACCGTTGAAGCAATTACTGTGGAGCCACAGACCACAAGGCACGAGCCACTCGTAAACTTTGCCACTTCAGATGTCATAACATTATTTAATGGTTTACGGAAATTAAAAGCTGTTTTAGTATTTATTTTATAGGAAAAAGCCTTTTTTGAGGGAGGAAAATCGTCAGTCAGTAAGTGCTGTGGTGGTGTTCAGTCAGTAAGTGTCAGACTCTCATTGACTAAACACCACCCCGTTCCTACTTCTGCACTTCGAGCCGGAACCCCGGCAACCGGTTAAGCCCTCTGCGGCTCCGTATCGGCATCAGCCCTATTAGGCCTCATCTGTGATGGAACCCCATCTAAGGTTTTAAAATGTGGTTAAGTAAGTTTGGCTTCCACAACACATTTTTATAGGATAGGCCGGTGAACGAGCCAACAGATCACTTGATGGTAAGTAATCGGTGCCGCCCATGGACATCTGGAACACCACAGGCGTTACAAGTATATTACCAGCATTTTTGGGATAAGTAATTAGAATTGTTGAAGATTTAGGGTTTGGGGAGATTGAGGAAGGGGGTTATTGAGCCTCCGTTAACCTCACGCACACAACGAAACAACGCAAACGTGGACTGGAAACATAGATAAAAAACCTTCAGTTTCACTTTCGAATAAATATTTTTAAAAACAAAATGTAAAACTTATCATAATCATCATCATGATATCTTTTATCCCCGAAGGGGTAGGAAGAGGTGCACATTACGGCACTTAATGTCACTGTACTATGTAACACCCACTTTTTACTATTTGTGTTGTGAGTCCCATGTAATAGGGGATGATTGATGGCCTATTGCCATACCGAGCACAATTCCAGACTCCGTGCTACTACCGAGAATTTTTTAAATGCCTAACCAGTATTACTTTGCTCGATCCTGAAATGTTGTAAAACTTGTCTAATTACTGTAAAATAAGGGAAGCATAATTTTAAATACTTTATTAGAATAAAATAAACACACCTACATGTACAGGGTGATTTCTAAATACTCTTTAAATACAACACGTCTATAAATAAGATTTCATAAAATAAAATATAATCATTTGAAAATAAATTATCAATCTTTCTTTTTTTAATATTTATCTTAATTACTTCTATATGTTGTAAATAATTTCATTTTTAAATAAATAATTTTCATTTATACAGAGAAGAAAACTTTATGTACATAGATTTAAAGTTTTAATTAAAATATTTCTTTTATTTGTAAATATTTTTAAAGTATTAGGTGCTTATTAATATAAAATATAGATTATTTCTTATAAAAAGTTAATACTACCTATATAATAAAACCTTTAAAATATATTTATGCGCAACTACTTTTTAAGAAGCTCGCTACTATATTTATATCACTAAATGAATCTTAATTTCTTTGAAAAGAACAAATTAAGTTTCCGAACATTTTTTCCTTCAGGCATTTCATATTTAATTAAATTATTACATTCTGATTTCGTACTGAAACGATAAAATAAGTTGGAATTTATTTTCAATTTTTATGTTACGGTCAATATAAGAAAATCTTACAGATGTTATAATTAAATTGTTAAAAAAAAAATTATAGACAAAATGTTGGGAGAATTTTGTTTAGTTAAAAATAGGCTATTATATATACTATAGGATTTGAACACGATGAACTTTTAACTGAAAATCGACATCTTTTATCATCCCCCTGTATATTAAGTTCAAAAATAAATATGATTCAATTTAACATTATAAAAAATATGCTATCCTTTTTGTTTCTATTTACCATACAAGGTTCTAAATAGTCCACCTGATGGTAGAAACATTCAAAAATATACTGTAAACAATTGGACATAGTAGCGAAATCCATTTTACTTCAGCTGTACCAACACCATGAAGTAAGTAACTACTGCACCAAGTACCTGTAAAATAAAAATTTTATTGTTAAAATTTATTAAAATAAAAAAATAGACAATTCCTCAAAGTCATGCCAACGATGCTTCTTTTTCAGACACCCTAAATATTTGCAAAATTCTATTTTCCATTATATTTTTATTGTGGGTGAAAAATCATTTAATGACTTCTCCCGCCTTGAGTGAGGCGAGAGAAAGCGTTAGACTCTTACTAACTGAAAACCACCCTGTTCCCACCCTTTTTTTATGTGGGAAACGTTCAATTATGCCTAGCTTTTTGGGAATAAAAGACTAGGGAGGAGATGACAAAAAAACACCCAGCTACCTTCAACACCTTTATGGAGGCACCGGGTCCTCTAAAAGAGACCTGCTCCGGAGCCCCCACAGTGCAATGCCTGTTACGACACATCCCTAGGGAGACGGGTGTCTCCTTTAAGCCTCGTTGTGTACGACGGCACGTAATAACTATTCCACCGTCTTCCCTGAGACCACTGGGTGGGCACTTAGACCCTGTTAATTCGACCCCTGCTTTCAGCTGGAGCCACGGTACCCCGCTAAGCTGTCCACAGCACCGTTAAACTAAGCTATAAACCAAATTTCCAGAAAAGTTTATTTTTATTTAAGGGGGAAAATCATGCCATGACTTCTTCCGCCCGGGTGAGGCAAGAGGGAATGTCAGACTCTTACTAGCTAAAAACCAACCCGTTCCTACTTCTGCACTTCGAACCGGCGCCCCGTTAACCGGTTAAGCCCTCCGCGGCTCAATTTCTAGAATAGTGGCAAAACCTTACACACACGAATTATACACTAAAACCTTTAAGTCATACAAATATATTGCTAGAGCAATGGATCACGTACCGAAGCAAAAAGATCAAGTGACACCGTGAAGAACTTGGCCCCGGAGATGCTCATGGCTTTCTGGCATTGCTGGCACACGATCTGGACGAAGGTCTTTGCTTCCTCGGAGCCGTCGTACCACTGGCAGGAGTAGGCGGCTTCCATCACTGAAGAACTCTAGTGGAAAAAAATGATTAAAATCAAGAGAGTATAAGGTAAAAAGTGCAGAAGAGGAAAAAGAGGTAATTTTACTAGTCACAAATTTTTAGAAGGCACTGGTTTACTTTTCCAAGACTTTTTATTTATATCCGATTTCTTGTGTGTTAATTTTTGGCTAAATAAAACAAAAGTGTGAGAAAGCCATGCGTCGGCATAAATGGGCCGGATCGACCGGAGTAATACCTACCACGGCCTCACAGAAAATCGACGTCAAATAACACCTTGTATTTTGTCGTGTGAGTGAAGCTACCAGAGGCCCAATTATTTCCCTCCCAATCCTCAAAATCCTAATGCCCAAGTGATCAGATCACAGGTGATTTTCTCGAGATAGGTATGTAGGTATACCCTGTTAAGTAATGAATAATTCAGGATAAGTAATGAAATCACAAACTCCTGAATTCTGCATCAATACTTTTCCGATCTTCGTCAACCCTAAAATAACGGTCCCAAAAACTACTCACCTCTTCAATAAGCCTGTTCCCGAAGATACAGAAATGGAACACCTGTCCCAGGGTATAGCTGAGGTAGCCAATAGTACTGAACGCATACACATTAATTCCATTGATCTAAAAGAGAAAAACATACTTTAAAATCTATTTTGTGTTTTCAACCATTGTTTTTCAACCATAAATTACTTATGATCGTTTTAAAAAAGCATAATAATGTAAGGTTACATAAAACATGATGGCCTTACTATTAATTTTCTGTGGTACGTTATATTACTGGATCATCGCTTGATCGAAAATGAGTAATGATCATTTGATATTAGTCTGGAACCGATCAAGCGAAGCGGTTACACGAATGACAGGCAATATTTTTACGCAAATCGTATACAGTACTAACGACAAACGTTTAGATTCTTATATTGGTCAATTTATAAGTGTAAAATTTTTATAGGAAAACAATTTTTAATAATGACAATGATGAATCATGCTATTAAGTATTCATATTTTTCGAAACTCATACATAATTATATTGGATACTATTATTATAAAGCGGATGAGTTTGTTTATTCACATTCACGAGTTTAAAACATCACGCCAATAAGAGCTGAGCAGAGCGTGTGAAACCGCGCGGAAGTAGCTAGTATTGGATATAGAGTTTAAAACATAAGACACAACTGTATAATATTGGCCATAATGTATAATACATCTACTATTTTCCCAATTTTTATTACTAATACATACATACATACATAATTTCACGAATGTCTTCCATGGGGCTAGGCAAAGACTATGGAACGCCAATTGCTACGATTCTTACAAACCTCTTTCGCTTCATCAACAGTCAACAGTACATTACATTATTTATTTGCCCTCAACACAAAGGATCATTTCACAGTAATAAGATACAATAACCAAATGCAAACGTTATAGAACTGGCCTTTTTGCACACTGTTCGGTTTTTTTTAATATTATAGAACTGGCCTTTTTGCACACTATTCGGTTTTTTTAATATTATAGAACTGGCCTTTTTGCACACTATTCGGTTTTTTTAATATTATAGAACTGGCCTTTTTGCACACTATTCGTTTTTTTAAACATTATAGAACTGGCCTTTTTGCAATATTTTTCTTGTTTAATTCTTGTAACGGTGCAAATAAACTGCGTTTTTTCTTTCTTTTTTATATACTCCTTTGTGAGAGACTGGAGTCTATACTAGGATTCCCTATGTGACGGACCTCGGACCACCATGACCTAAGTTTTAAGTACTGCTTACCTTAGTAGCCTGATAAGCAAGTAGAGTGAGTGTAATAGTTGACACCAACATGTGGAACAGCAGAGCAGTACCATACGTGTCTCCTATCGATGCTACCAATCTGAAAACAAGAATTATGCGAAGTAATTAAAATAATTCAATACCAATGGTATTTTTTGTTTTGTTATATGATAAGCCGGCAAACGAGCTGTCGGATCACCTGATGGTAAGCAATCGGCACCGCCCATAGACACCTCAAACACCGGAGGCGTTACAAGTGCGTTACCGGCCTTTTGGGGATTGAAAATAGAGAATTTGAAGATTGTGTGGGATTCGGGGATTAGAAAGATTGGGGAGGGGAGGGGGTATTTGGGCCTCCAGTAACCTCACACACACGACGAAACACAACGCAAACGTTGTTTCACGTCGGTCTTCTGTGAGGCCGTGGTATAACTTCGGTCGAGCCGGCCCATTCGTGTGGCTGGCTCTTCCACACTTACATGGCTCTCCCACGCTTGGCATTAGATTTCAATGAAGAAGTATTTCAGCAATGTTATTGAAAAAAACTCAGAAACAAAATATTTACGTAATTATGTAAAAAAAAATTGCATGCCCAGAAAAGTTATGAAACTTTTTGGCGAAAGACCAAATGACCAATAATATTTTAGACCAATTAGTAACAAATAAACGATAACATCTGAAACTTCTCCAACCATTTGCCAACTAAACAAACTCCACTTTAACTAAATCAAGATTCATACGAAGCCATTTCTTGATATCTCAAACGAATTTTAAATTCAAATTAAACCATATTCCGAGTTCACAACTTCAAACACGAAGTTTTCCGAAGTTAGTCGAAGTTTTCCGAAGTACGAATGACTTCTAACCACAGATTATAGAGCTCGGGGGAATAGTTAGCACGTTTGTGGTCACAAAGGGTCTATTAAGTTCAATTAGAATGGCTAATTGTACTCTATTAATATCTTTGAATAATATTTCCTAGTAAGTGTAGATTTACTTTAAATTTTGGCCAAAGACTCGTTCTCTAATTGATAGAACTTAAATCAAAGTCAGTAATAATGATACTATACGTATGATAATTTTATACGTCCTTATACTACACACTGCCTTGTTGGCCGAATGGTCGTAAGTGCGATTGCCGGGCAAGGGGTCCCAGGTTAAATTCCCGGGTCGGGCAAAGTACTATTGGTTTTTTTAATTCTCACGCGAAGTCTGAAACTGCGTCCGGTATATGGCAATAGGCCCAGCCTTACATGGGACTCATAACATAAATGGTGAAAAGTGGGTGTTACATTATACAGTGGCATTAAGTGCCGTATGTCCCCACAACCCCTTCGGGATAAAAGGTGTATTGTTGTGTTACGGTGTGTTATTTTAATTTTACACATTCTGCCTTAACCTAGCCTTACACAACGGCCTTACATCCATGGTCTAGCAAACATAATCAACAGCCTATAAATGATCACAGCTGGCCAAAGGCCTCTTTACGCACGGAGAAGGTTAGACCAATATTATATTATAATCACCGCACTTGCTGAATGCAGGTTTCCTCATGATGTTTTCCTTCACCGTTTGTCAGTAGTGTCTAGATAATCTTAGAAAGTACGTATAACTCGGAAAATGTGACTAATACTTATTCTATTGCATAATTATATCATGTCGGACTACTCAAACGCTACTCAATTTTAAGTCGTGTTCAAGTATAGTTCTGTCTCCACAAATTCTTTGTAAAATGACAGAGATGGCACGGTATTTAAGCACGACTTAAAATTGAGTAACGTTTCAGTATTCCGGCATCAGTCATATTTTTACACCTCGCTGTTAAATCTCACCTAACGACGTGTTTGTGCCTCTCCACCCAATACTTAATAGCAGACCTCGCCAGCATCTCCTGCTTCGGAGTCAAGCCATTAGGGTTGTTGTTCTGCTGTCCAAAGGTCTGCAGTCTACCTCCAGCTCCTCGCAATGTCATCCCGAAATCTTGTTGTGTGGAATATATGCCGCGGATGTCCATATCGACAGTGTCAGGAATCTTTTCTGATTTCTCTGTAGAAAAGGCGTTAATTTGAAAAAAGTTCAGAATTATTTACTAAAAAGTACAATAATGCAGCTGAAAAATTTGTTAAGGATGTATTTTGATTGATTTATTTATTAACTCTAATGCACAAAAAATAAGGTACATAAGGCGGACTTAATGAGTTAATGCTATATTATGGCATTTTGATTTTATTATAAGTTTATCTTTGTTTAAAGAACCGGAATACTTTATTGTTCGTTTAAATAACAGTATATTTTCTATTCTTTTTATAATAACTATCGTGAAACATACTAAATTAACTATAATCGCGGGTTACTCGCGTGAATATACTGAGAAAAGCTCTCTGCTCATGAGGAAGAACTCCTCTGTGGTTCGAAACTAGTAGAGCTTTTCTCAGTATATTCACGTGAGTAACTCGCGATTTTAGTTAATTTTCTATTAACACAATTTGTTAGTTTTTTATGTTATCAACAGTCTAATAAAAAAAATTGAGTACAATTACTAAAAATATCATATTGGCAGTTAGGGTTAGCCCCCTACTCTCCCTTTTAAAATATTTGAGTCATTTTTTTAAATACATTAATGTTCTCTGCACGCATTTTGGTCTTACCAGTGGAAGAAGCACGGAACAGCTCAGCAGTATTAGGCCGATACGTGTCTAGCGAAGCACTGAGTTCCATGAGAGGTTTCATGATGGCCTTCAGGTGCTGCAGCTGTTCACATGCGAAGATCAGCCAGGAGCAGAACATAACATCCATCAGATTTGCTATAGCCATTGAGAAGAGGAGCCAGTAGACCTGTGAGAAGAAATTGTGAAGAAAATCAATAGTCAATATTTCCTTTATAATGACATCGATACCATACCATGGTTTAAGATAATTAAAAACAATAATTATAATCTAATAAATAATTTTGGAGAAGAAAAAGCCTTTCAGCCAAATTATTAAGTGTGAGAGAGCCATACTTCGGCACGAACGGGCCGGCTCGACCGGAGTGATACCACGGCCTCACAGAAAACAGACGTGAAACAACGCTTGCGTTGTGTTTCGTCGTGTGAGTGAGGTTACCGGAGGCCTAATATCCCCCTTCCCCAGTCTCCCCAATCCCCGAATCCCCCACAATTCTCAAACTCCTACTTCCCAATAGGCCGGTAACGCACTTGTAACGCCTCTGGTGTTCTAGATGTCCATGGGCGACGCCGATTGCTTACCATTAGGTGATCCGGCTGCCAGTTCACCAGCTTATCTCATAAAAAAAATATTTTATTTTATTTGTCTTAAACAAAAAGTTTAAAAGGTTTGAACCTCGAACTTCCGTAATTTTTTTTTCTACAAATATACTTTTAGTAGCAATTTCATAAGTGATTTCACAAATCTTAAATAACTTACCTGAAAAGCGAAAGCGATGATATACGTGGTGCCGCTCATAGCATTGAAAGGGTACCAGGCCTTCAGAGGCAGTCGAGGGGCTACTTCTGTCAACGTCTCATTCGTTTCCTTACTAGTAATCAGGCGGACTGATTCACCGAAGAATGTGAGTGTGACCCAGCCTGGGAAAGGAAGAATATAAATGGTTAGATGAGTTTTTATCATTCACAGTACATAGCACCTACATTCAATCTAGCACTTTGAATAGTAATTCTGTAACTGTCTCAAAGTGAACTGGATCGCATTCTCGTCTCTCATTGGTCGTGATTAATGTATTATCACAATCAATGATATTATGGCGGACTGTGAATGAGTTCACTTCGATCATTGGACTTGAAACTATATAATAGCAGGTATGTTGTAAATTCTATTTAAATTGGGGAAATATCCATAAGTAGCGACAATCACACACTTTGTACTGTGATCAGTAAGTTTCGAGAAACTTATAAATCCACCGCATAATACTTTACCCTACCCATGATTTAAATTAGAGAAATACTAGAAAAATCCAACTCTATATAGTTCACATCAAAATGATATTTCTGCATCTAAACCACACCTACTTATCCTAATCCATTAATTTCTATGAATTATTAAATTTTCTAAAGTAAGGAGAGGCATCTAAAACTAACGAGGGTATAACAGTCATTAGGATCTCAGAAAAAGCAAGAGGTGTGCTTACATTTTTAACGAAAGGTAAAGGAGGTTTACTTTGCGCAGCGCAAGACAGGTGGTAATCTCTTGAGGCCCATACGTTATATGGAAAGATGGCAGGTAAGGCCACTGTGTAGCTTTTTGGTATTAATTTTGTGTAAGGAGTAGATGTATGTATAATAATGTATAATATAAGATAATGTTAAAGCGCTTGAATGTTTTTATTGGTGCCCAGCATGGGACAAGACGTTCTTCTTTGTTGCGTGTCATAAAAATGAATATTTAAGTCAATTTCTATATAATGTGAAAATATTCCAGCATAAACTCACAAAAATACCCTTTGACTTGACATTGCAATGAAACAAATATCGTTAAAAATTGCCTAAAAAACTATAAGAAACACTAAGCTTCAACATAAGACTTCTCTGCTTACCCTGTTCTTAATAAAAACTGCTCTTAAACAAAACAATAAACTTACATTTACAATAATACTACATCAACCTTACAAGTACACAAACTACTAACTTCCTTGCTAATAGCAGTATGGTCCACTAAATCAGAATAAACGTAGCGTAACAAGCAAGACCCTGCCACAGTATGTTTGCCTGGTACATAGTCTCGGAGCACCTAATGTAGCAAAGCTTGACTTACAAACAGGTACATTAGAACGTGAATAGGGCACTGCATGGACTAAGGCAATGTGGTTTGCTATTTACTGAATTCTTGAGATATAATTTTAATCCTTTTACGTTTTATGCAACCCTGGTAGTTTGGTAACTTGGTTTTGTGTTCATGTTCGATTAAATTTCGTGACTTTTGAAATAATAAATGGCTAGTTTCCTAGGTTTAAAATAAATTGTTTCAACTTTTCAATGCAATAAATAAATAATTAAAAAATAATCATACTCTCATCCATTGATTTGACAATTTACCTACTTTTGGATATTTTCTCGCTAATTTTAAGGAAATAAGTATGCTATTTGACACGGAATTGTGATGGCGTCATAAGTTACGATCCAATAAAAAATTCATAGAAAAGTATAGTTTTTGACATTTCAATAAAAGTATTAAATTTGACTACCTGTCAACTACCGTATTGATTGATACCTAATTTCGTCAATGTCAAAGTCATATGTTTTTAGGTTTTGTATTTAAGTGTTGCTTAATTAATAATTATGACCTTGCCGCAGTATTATTACTTAGTACATATCAGTCTCAGTGCACCTAATGTAGCAAAGCTTGACTTACTATTAATTAGAGCGTGAAAAGGGGAATGCATGACCACGGGAATGTGGTTTGCGTTTGATGGATTCATGAGAATTAATTTCAATGCTTTTATGTGTCCCTGGTAGCTCCACTGTGTCGTGGAGAGCTTAAAATTAGTATTTTGGCAATAGTATAAAAATAGAATGTACACTGTTTTCTGAAATTCATTGTTTTGAGTCTGCAAAAAATCTGGCGGAACAATTAAGTGAGATCTTACCATTGTATGATTACCTGGTACATATAGACTCTCAGTTAAATTTGGAACGTTTTACTTACTAACAACTGACAGGACAGTCATGCCGCAGATAAAGTACAGGAGTCTTCTCATCTTGGTGAGCGCAATTTGATGGTAGCGGGCATCTGACTCCGTGAACAGAGGGTGGCTGTTCGACTGGTTCCATACTGCTAAAGTCCTGGTGAAGTTAGTTAAGAATTATTACTGATAGCTAAAACAATCGACGTTATGCCTTGTTGGCACTATGGTAGTATTTTTAGTCAAGTAGCGAGTATTTAGTAACGCTCTATCGCTTCGATTTTGACAGCATTATGCATAGCATATATTGCATGCAGCATATATTCTAACAGAAGCGAGAGAGATACTAAACACTCGCTGCTCGACTAAAATACTAGGTAGCATACTGCAGACAAGGCATTAAGTGTTATTTAAAGTACTGCCTTCTCGTGTAATAATTATTTGATAAGGTATCTCGACTATGTTGAAGCCACACTAGGGATTCATAATCGTGAGGAGCATTGTACGACAAACTACGAGCTAACTGTGACATTTTAATTTTTATTGGTGGTATCGTTCGGTGTCGTATGAGTTGCTGTTTGTTTTAATTTCCAGATTATTTTCACAATAGTGACTAGGTATATTTTTTTCAAAAAAAGGGGTATTTTAATGAGGAACTAAATAAACGATACCCTGCTCCCCCTTAAACCTAACCCATTGTTAATTGACATAAGCCAGTTACGTTTTAAATTAAACAACACAATTTGAATACCCATTATTATTTTACTATGCTATACTTTTAATTATAACCTTTGCGTAAAAGCAAGCAATAACTTAAATAAGTTCCATAACTACCTGTTATTGACGGTACAAAAACGCATAAAACATTAATTTAAATTTTTTCTTTATGGCATAAGCCGGTAAACGAGCAGACGGATCATCTGATGGTAAGCAATCGGCGACGTCCATGGACACCTGGACATCAGAGGCGTTACAAGTGCGTTACCGGCCTTTTGGGGATTAGGAGTTTGAGGATCGTTGGGGATTCAGTGATTGGTGAGAGAAGCATTTGGGCCTCCGGTAACTCTCACACAACTAAACACAACACAAGCGTTGTTTCACGTCTGTTTTCTGTGTGTTCACTCCGGTCGAGCCGACCCATTCGTGCCGAACCATGGCTCTCCCACACTTGTTATGTGAAACACAGACAAAACAAAAAATATTTAAAAACAGTTAAAAAGACAAAACAAACAAACAATCCGACCTTATTGAAAGAATAATTTTCTAATGATACACTCTACCTATTTCTACGTAAAACTTCATGTATGTGGGAACGAACAACTGTTTTCATTGTAAACTTAGCTATAACTTAATACACGATACTTGATTGTAACTTATGAAGTTATTTACTAAGACTCTACTTAATAATGACAAGGTTTTAGAATACTTAAGTTATTAAGTTCAAACGTATTAGAAAGTTTTCTATTTCAAGTTATTAAAGGTTATTTATTACGTAAAATTAAGTTAAGTAAGCATAACTTAATGTCGTAATGGGCTGGAGGTTAAGACGCCCGCTTCTCATGCATGGGGGTGCGATTTCAAAACCTACCAACGGCAAGCATCAATGTGACTTTATCCCAGTTATATGTCCTTTCTAAGATTATTTAGACACCACTGACAAACGGTGCAAGAAAACATCGTGAGAGAACCTGGGCTTATAATTTCTAATTATAAGTTTGAAATCGCCAACCCGCATTGAGCAAGCGTGTTGGTTAATGCTCAAACTTTCTCCGTGTCAGAAGAGACCTTTGAAGGAGTGAGCACTTATAGGCTGTTGATGTAAGCATAACTGAATACTTGGTCAAATTAGATTGTTTTGATATCTATAATCTGCAAAATACTACGAAAAAGGATACTTTTTATTTAGGTATTTTTTATCCTTTTTATGCTCACCTACTTAATTTATATAATAATGTCTTTAAAAGTACTATGTTACAATTCACGGTGACATTTATTTTCTAGTTAATAGTATAAGTTTTGATTACATAGTGTTTAGTTTATAATATTAAAGTTTTGATTTTATTCTGTATATGTTTCAGCACAAATGGGCCTTCCCAACCGAAGTGATACCATCGTCACGAAAACCCGATGCAAAACAAAGCTAGTATTATGCTTCACCGTTTAATTGAGGTTACCAGAAGCCCTCAATTTTGAAAGCATACAAAACTTATATACTTAGTGTTGATTTTTAAATAGTCAGTTAATTCTTAACCGTAGAATAAAATTGACATATGATAGATTTTAGTAGATATGGAAGAATTGTCTAATATTTAAAGGTATTCTTTAGTTAAATGTTATCTGGCGTTGGAGTTTTGTCTAGGTAGGTATCAATACTTTAAATTTTATCCTCATAGCCGTTTACCAATCAGAAAGGTTTTGAGAGAAAAGTAATATTTATACACTGAAAATAAAAATCATTGATCCCAAAGCTTTCCTTTTACTCGCCACTAAAAGTAAATTGTTTTAAAACATGACTGCACTTCACCCACGGATCGTGATTCAATTTCAAACTAAAATATATCAAAGACAGATATTTCAATATCTTTATAGGCAACTAGTATTTTTATCTGTGACTTTAGCGTTTGAAAAGTATAATTATTATTATAGTTTCTGCCAGCAGCTTCGCAGTTCCCGTGGGATAGAAAATGGTTTATGTGTTATTCCAAACCATAATCTACGGCTGTTCCAAATATCATTCCGAGCCCTTCATCCATTTTGAATTGAAGGTGTTACAAAGAAACACAGATACAAACTTTTACAATTACAATAATAGTACGACTGTAACAAATATGTTACAGAAAAAAGGGCTATAAATATAACCTCGAGATTTTTAAATAGGCGCAAAACTCGTCGAATTAATTCCCGCCCTGATGTTTTAGCGAGTGTCACATTCTTATTGGATAAAACCCGACCTTATGTGGCGATTTAACGGTGCTTTGCGGCACACTATTTTTGTATAGATACAAATATTCAGATGGAGCTCTGTTCTTAATGTTTCGTTTTTTTAGGTTTAATTTTAAAATAACTTAATTTCAAAAACAAAACAGTCAATATAAAAGTAATTTATTAATATTTAAATAATAAATTACTTTTATAATTTAAATAATATTTCATTAAACAACAACAAAACCACGTCGACGTTAAAACGAAAAACAAAACAAAACATTTGAATTTGAAAATAGAACGAAAGAAAAAAAACAAAATAAATATTGTCATAAAAATTGTTACCGCTTGTAATAAAAGAGGAATGGAATCCAAAATTAAAATCATTCCAATTTCAAACGTTCTCTTTGTTTTAGATTGTTAAAATTAAAATTGGCTGCAAATACTTCGTGCCGGTCCGTCGAGTATACAATTGACAATTCTGACGCTCATTTTTTCAACATAATAATATTATTACCTTTTTTGTTTTGTTGTTTAGGCATGAAATTTTAAAACGTTTTTGTCTGAGTTTAAATTAAGAAAAGTATGAATTATGAATATCACAAAATCTGAAATTATGATCAGTTATTTGTTTAATACATAATAATGTTCCATATAAATTTTAATCGAATACTTATATTATCATTACCAATCACCCGTCCATACAATGATAACAGCAATATTGTTTACTAACAATATTAAAATACTGTTAACTAGTAATAAAATGTACAATAACAAGTATAAATAAAACAATTCAGTTTATTTGTAGTGTAGAATAAAATAAAAATATTAATTAATAAAAAATGCAAGCACCATCTCTATCTTAAGTAAAAAGAAGCAAAGATTTTAACAAATACGTTGTTAAAGCTCGGAGAGATAATATTGTTTTAGATTTTCCAAACGATAGCGAGATACTGGGGACGTTTTAACCGACATCGTTTTAAAAAAGGAACGTTAAAAAATTAATATTCTTTTTATTGCCGTTTGTAGATAAAAGTCGTTGAGCGAATGAAGTGATAATTAAAAATTGGAAGAGCGGACCGTTACTTTTTGTATTTAAAAAACCATTACTGTTATTCTTTTCTTTTGTATTTTGTGTAAGTAGAGTTTTTTTTATAAATAAATTGGGATTTCTATGTCCTTAAACTTTTTTGTAAGTTAAATATACTTTTTTAATTATTTATTTTGGTTTTGTAACTGTCTTTGATATTTCAATATGGTTAACAAGATACCTACTAGTAATCAGATGATTGTAGAAATTATTTACAATTGATTTGTCTTCACTAACTTAAATGTACTTCTGTATGCCTTTTTTACCCAACTTTATTATATCGTGACCACGCTACACTGCTTTCAGGTTTTTACTCGAAGGTGGGGGTTGGAACCAAGTCTTAACCAGTAATAAATATAATAAGACTACTTGTTCTCTTTGTGCAAATGCAACTCACCCCAGTTCGGTTTTATATAGAAAAAGTGTCAAAAATAAAAATAACCCAACTTTTACTTAACAAGCTTACACTTGAAACAATAGCGTACGATATGTTTTGTTCTATTTGCTTTCAGGATCAGCACCTTGCATTCAAAAGAATTCCCAATCCCATGCAGGCGAATAATAATAAAATTCTTCAAGTACCTAAGTCTTACGATTTTAAGCTATTAAGACAAAAGTAGGTACAAAAGTAACTACATAACAAACCACAGAAGAGCTAAACATAAAAGAATAATATACAATAGAACAAGCACCTGTAAAAACTCTTGGAGTTCAAAGCGAAGAACCCCAACTTGATGATGGTGTGAGTGAAGAAGAGGACGGTGATAGTGTTGGCAGTCAGCTCGTTGACCTCATCGGAGTACTGGGCCATGTTGATACCCATACAGGCAAAATGTATGGTGATGAGAATCGCGTGGGTACTGGCGTAGATCTTACGAAGGAGGCCGCTCATACCACCATTTTCTGGGTAGATAAAATAGAGGTGTGTTAGTTTTTGGGATTAACGGTAGGGAATTTTGTGAGGAAGACGGGTTTGTAAAAGTTGATTAAGATGGAAAAACGTCTATAGTTTTTAGCCAATTTCCCCAAAAGGAGGAGCTTATCAATTGGGCACAAACCCATAACAAAATATAACATAGGTAATGGATACAGATATAATCCATAATGAAATTGTAAACAGCTTAATAATGAGGTATCTTTTAAACTTGTGGCACCGACTTCATACCTATCAGTGGGTGTGTAACCTACCTCTATAAGTACGTATGACCAATAATAGTAATTTACTTTTCGTTGGTTTTTAGCTTTTTGAAGTCATTTTTTTATGTAGATCAGTTGCATTATGAATGATTTAAAGACTGTGATGAATTTATAATGTTGTTTTCAGTCCACTGTTTCCATTTTTCTAGTACTACATTCTGCATAGTCAAAATTTTTATTAAATTCTTCAAATAAGTCAAATCTATAGGATTTTAGAATACAATTCAACTTGCATGCTAAATTCGTGTAAAACACATAGCGGATTGATCACGATTAAGCATTCTCGTTCGCCATAAAAGACGAAATTACAATTTTCATCAGAAACAGTAGGTAAACTTGAGAGATTTTGAGACTTAACGAATAATAATGTCGATAAAATGGATCGACTAGGGACTTACAAAAATATATCGGCTAAACGAAAATCAGCTAAAAATATATCTGCTTCCAAAATTGTCGAAGGTTTTTAAGGACGATAATCCCAAAGGTACTGTGAACGTTATTTTTGAAAGCTGCCATTTGGTAATAACTTTTTATGGCCCTGTTATGACACAAGAGTAGAAACGATCTAAGCACAAATAAACCTAATGTTTTCTACGTATACTGAATTTACGTTAATACTGATTATTTCTTTGTCAGCTGGTATAAGGTGAATAATATTATCTAGAATGTCAACTTTAGCCTCAATGCCAATTTGAATTAAGACTGATATTTCTTCGTCACATTTTCTTTTTAAGTCTTTTTTCTTTATATTAGTAATTATGATGTTATTAAAATACATTTTTATCTCTTTCAAAAATATTGTTTCTTTTTCTGCCTCTCTCTTTCTTTACTAAGTTGAAACCAAACTATCGTTTGGTAATATCTTACAACAACTAATAATATCTTTTTCATTACCATCATATAAGACAAAAAATATTAATTTAGTATCTTTTCTTTCAGTAAGTAAATGTGCATGTTTCAACAAAATTTCATACCTGCATGGTAATTGAAGAGGAAGTGTCCAGCTGCCTGCATCAACTTGATGTTGGGCATCAGGTCGGAGACCAGCCCCTGTGCTTTCACTTTGGTCATCATCTGAAATTTGATCATCATGTAAATTATGATCAGAATTAGTATTAATTAGTATTAATTACATCTTCATCAATATCTATACCTTTATCAATTAAAATGATGCAATTAATATTAATAAAGTCTGTTTGCGTAGATATTAAGACCTTCTCAGTTTTTACTTTTACAGTCCTTAGCGTGAAAACGAATAAATTATGGTGTTTTAGAAATTCTACATTGCGTATTTGCAGTTTGCAGTGACAGTAATTCAATGTCACGACGCAACCTTGCCATAAATCAATCGATAGACTCATTACTACCATCAGCAAATATAACATCTTCATTAGACATTATAATTACATTTAAAACAACCTCTAATGCTTTAGAATTAAGACTTAAAATTAATAAAAACATATCAATACTGTACCTTGAATTAGTTCCAAAAATATCCTTTCAGTAGTTAGTATTAAAGTTCAAAATTTATAATTTCCAAGAATTTGGTCCCATTTTTCGAAATGCGACGCGTGTAGCTTTCAAACGTTGTCGAAGTGAAATGATCGATTTTTAAATTCAGTGTCATGAGAATTTTCTGCGATGACGTGTAATTTGTATCCTCCAATAGCGTCGCTTGTCTTGTGGGAACTAGCCAGTGGTATAACACCCGGTAGTTTCTTCTTCTTAATTATGGATAGAGCTACGATAGTTTCTTATAATTATGTATTTTCATCGATTGAACGATCGATAACTTCAAATCGGTCAATGTTAGTTTTAAACTCTATTTGTTTTGACTTTTATTGTTTTTCAACGTTTGTTTTATGAAATGTATGTTTTTGTTTGTTTGTTTGTTTGTGTCCGTTTCTAGTCAATAGGTAATCAATTGTGTTGTGGATATCGGTGTGTTTTTGTTTGTGGTGTGATAGTATGATTTCAGATTGTATTAAATATTGCCATAGGTATTTTGTTGGTTGAGTATTAACTCGTCGAGTACCGGTTTTAACAATAGGTCGCGGTCACCGGTGACCGCTTGGTGTTTGACAGTTTAAGCTCAATTTCAGGTACAGGTTCGGTTTCCGTTTTCGGAACAGATTTAATTAGTTATGATAATTATTTTTAATTTACAGTGTTATCATAGTAACGAAATTTAGAATTATATTCAACTAGCTTTTACCCGCGGCTTCGCTCGCGTCACAAAAGAATAAAAAGTAGCCTATGTGACATATACCAATACACACAGCGCCATCTATACCAATACTTTTGTTTTTCCTCGGGAATATCATTTTTTCCGGGTTAAAAAGTACCCTATTATTTAATCCGGACTTCTAACTTTACGTCTCCAAAAATTCAAAGCAATCGGTTGAGTAGTTACGGCGTGAAGGTGGAACAAACAAACCAACAAACAAACTCACTTTCAGATTTATAATATTAGTAAGGAAGTAAGGATGTTATAATATTATAAAACTTAATCCTTAATTACATTTAAACTGCAAATAGCTTTTTATGTGCGGTACATTTACGCTGCAGACATATTTGATCAAAATCCTATTACTCACTTTAAATCACAATAATATTTACTAAGCAAAGAAAAGAAATATACTCCAGTATTCAGCGACTAGTATTTTATGAAGGATTCTATTTATTTTCTCACGATCCATCTTACTTCCCTGACGTCAATAATAAAATATAGAATACTACGCTAGAAGAAAGAAAAATAACGACAAAATAATAATAGACGAGGTCTTCTGAATTTATTTTAAGCGTTGCTCCGCATTAGGATTTTCTCTTGTGTTGTGGGTGCATAACGTTACATAACATCACGCCTTTTATTCCCGAAGGGGTAATCAGTTATACATTACTTCACTTAATGCCGCTCTATAATGTAACATCCACTTTTCACTATTTATGTTATGAGTCCCATGTAATAGGGGGTGAGCTTATTGCCATATACCGGGCACGATTCCAGACTCCGTGCTACTACTGTGATTTTTTTTTAAAAACCCAGTAATTCTTTGCCTGAACCGGGAATCGAACCCGAGACACCTTGCCCGGCAGTCGCACTTGCGCGACCACTCGGCCAATGAAGCAGCCGAAAAACGCCGACAATTGACGGCAAAGAACAGGTTTTATTTTAATACTAGCTGTGCCCGCGACTTCGTTCGCGTGGTTGTCGAAAACAAAACAACATCGTTTAGGTAACAGTGGGCTATATACATATGAACTCCACTCAAGAAGGTGGTATAGTATTTTTTATTTTGCCAATAAAGATTCATAGAATAGTGTTCAACATGATTCTTTAATTTGACATAACTTTTTTATTTATGAACCGATTGACATGAAACAAACACTAAAGCATAACTGAAACATACCACAATATATTCGTGAAAACCGCATCCAACTCGGATCAGCCGTTTCTGAGATTAGCGTGAACAGACAAACAGACAAACAGACAAAAAAAAAGTTAATTACATTTTCGGGTTCGACATCGACATAACAATAACCCCTGCTATTTTTTATATTTTTATTTTCTATGTACAGACAGCACTTTTCTACAATTTTATTATATGTTTATTATAGATAGATGTATAGATAGATAGATAGATATAGATAGATAAGTAAGGAATTAATTGTTTCTTGCATGTAATAATAGTTGTATTGTAATCGACTGTTCAAGGCTGATGTTGCATGAATAACAGAAGAACAAAAATGATTGAAATTGTTTTTACAATTTCTTTTTGTTAGCGTTTCGGGAGCGTTCCACTTACACCCTGTTTTTTTATGGCATAATCCGGTAAATGAGCAGACGGATCACCTGATGGTAAGCAATCGGCGTCGCCCATGGACTCCTGGAACACCAGAGGCGTTACAAGCGCGTTAACGGCTTCAGTCTGCCCTGTATATGTTTATGGGGAATTTTTTTCTCCACCTCTATTTAGAATTTAAAGCAAACTTAATTTCTCCATTAATAACCTACTGCACATCAAAAAAAAATCGTAAAACAAAAATACTGATTTGCACACTAATTGTTCAATATTAGGTTAGGTTTGTTTTTTTTTTGTTTTTTTTATATATTTTGTTGCACACGAAGAATTATTAGATTTACTTTTAGTTAAAAGGTAGTCATTCAGTAAAACAGTTAAGCTTTAAAGATCTAACAGTATAGTACAACGTTGCTACCATCCGTGCGTCACTGCATGGGTGCCCACTGAAAATCAGTGCTGGGTAACCTGTATGCCTGGCTTACACTGAGTGGGTGACCCTTTTAGCATGGGCATGTTGTCAGCGTCTCTTTTCTAATTCTTCTGTTTCAATTTTTCAACTCTTATATTTTTATTACTTCCACTGTCACATCTTGATTGTCTTTTTTTATTTTTTATTTATGCTGCATCGTGCCTGGTGCTAAATAAATGTTTTTTCTTTCTTTCTTTCTTTCTTATAGTATAATTGATTTATTTGATGAGCAAATTTAGTGTGCAATTCAGTATTGATTGAAAAATTGTTTATTACTTTCACATTAAATATTATTAACACATTAGCACATCAAACTAACCCCATCTAACCAAACCTCATTCCAATTTCAACCTTACACTTTTTCTATACAAGTGAAAATCCTTTAAACAATTGTGTCCAATTGGTATACCTTCATATGCTGGTAATAAAGGCTTATTCTCACGTAACGACCATATAGGAATGAGTGGATTTATTAAGTAATATCCTGTAGGCCCTCGATACAGTAGTTACAACGGTTTTATGGTGTATTATTGGTATTTATGGGAATATATTGGGTTACACACATACCTATATGTGTTTTCTTTGATGTTTTTGTTTGCGTAAGATGTTTATAGTAAATAAGGAAAACATAGACACGAATATTTTTAAGGTTATATATTTGGATTTAAATATCGCGTGACGTCACGCCTAGGTACATTTTTGTACTTAGCGATGACGTAGTCAAAATGAAACGATATCATTTATTTATTTATTCATTTATTTAGTCTTTAATGTACACAATGTTATTATGGCACATTTATCTGTAACTTAGAAGTATCACTGGACCTGTAACGTTTGTTAACAAACATTTCATATCTATCTTGACTTTTTTGATGGTGAAAATCATCAAAATTGTATGACTTCTCTCGCCCGGAGTGAGGGCGAGAGGGAGTGTAAGACTCTTGCTGACTAAAAACCACCCCGTTCCTACTCTCGTGCTTCGAGCCGGAGCCTGGGAGCCTGGTAACCCGCAAGTTTGCCAACAGAGCTCCATCGGCCCTAATGAGTATGAAAGTCAAATCAAACGACCAACAATTAAGTACTATCACAATCATACAACAAAACTACGTTCATTAATCCCACCCAACCCAAACATTATGTAAAGCAACATAACTTATCAACAATCTACTTGAAATTCTGCCTACCCTACTTCAAAAGTTAGCGTAATGAAACATACAATATGTGTTATCTAAGGTTGAAACTTTCCGCTAATTTCATTAAGTTAGATTACAAGTTTGACTTAGTTTAAACTTATAGCTAACTTAACATCTGATAAGAAGTTTGTAACTGAAACGATGATGAAACTGGTGCAGAATTTTGAAGTTATTTTGATTTTCGTTTGGTTTATTAAACCGTGACTGCACTGTTGTCTAAGTTCAAGTATAACTGCTGTTTTAATTTTTTTTAATTGGGGAAAATCATCGATTTGCTTCTCACGCCTAGGTGAGGCGGGAGGGAGTGTCAGACTCTTATGACTAAAAACCACCCCGTTCCTACTCCTGTACTTCGAGCCGGAGCCCCGGCAAACCGTTACGTCCTCCGCGGCTCCGTATCGGCATCAGCCTTGTTGGGCCCCATCCGTGGTGGTCTGATGGCTCTTTGAAGCGCGCACGGAACGCGACGCGTCGTACGATCGGGAGGGCCTGAGATTTGATCCTCCACGGAGTGGTACCACGGCCTCACAGAAAATCGACGTGAAACAACGCTTTTATAGTGTTTCGCTGAATGAGTGAGGTTACCGGACGAAGTGAGAAGACCGGACCAGTGTAGATTCTACACTATCGCATAATCTACCAGCTGTATTTCAAAACCCAAAACTTCGAGCTCAATATAATAAAAGCTACTCACACAACAATATATAAGATATGGACATAAAATACATACACTCACTAACAAATAAATAACGTGACGAGAATAATCTATTGTAAAATTACCGCTTGAACCATAAAAAGGGGTAAAACAGGGTAAATAAAAGGTTTTGCGATCCACCGCACCCCATTTGAAACGACCGAAGACTTTGATTACCTTTTACCCAAATACCCCACGTTTTAATCGACCGTGCAAACATAAAGACAATATAATTTGTTATTGTTTTTCGTCGTGGGGGTAAATAATGGGTTGAGTTGTGGATTGCGATAAAAGAGACGTAGTGTAAATTCAATAATGGAACATGATGTCAAATTACTCCTCTGCCTACCCCTCGTTGCTCGCTGCAGCCTCGTTGGTCGAGTGGTTGCAAGTGCAACTGCCTCTCAGTAGTAGTACGGAGTCTGGAATTATGCCCAGTATATGGTTATAAGCTCACCCCCTATTAAACGAGACTCATAACATAAATAAAAGTGAAAAGTGGGTGTTACATTGTATAGTGGCATGAAGTGCCGCAATATCCACCTCTGCCTAGCACTTCGAGAAAAAAAACCAAGTAATATTTAATACTTTCCCGAATCGAACCCGAGACCCCTTGCCCGGCAGTCGCACTTGCAACCACTCGGCCAACAAGGCAGTTTGTCTGTCTGTATGTGTATAATATTTCATCACAATTTGCTCAGCTACTCTGTATAGTTTAGTAACTATACAAACGTCCATACATACACACAACCAAATATTCAGAATATACCAGCTCAAATTCAAATTTATTTCGCTTTCAGTATAAGTAACTTATACACCAAAATTCGCGCGCAAATTAACAATTTTAATTAGGTTCACTTAATTAAGTTTTCTGTTAGCCGTAAACAAATTTAAATTGATGAGCCGACATGGTACTCGCATTTTCTGCGAAATACTATATTTAGCCCAGCGCACACCGGCGGAGGCGCGGCGCAATACTGACAATGAATCATTCAATTTAAAATACACTTTAACTACTGTGGCATACGAATGAAAACGGCGTACCATAGCTTAATGATGCACCGTGTGCCTCCCATCTTCGGCATGTCGTTTTCATCCATATGCCTTAGTAGTTAAGGTTTATTTTTACTTGATTAATTCTCAGTATCTTCATTGCCTCTCCGCCGGTGTGCACACGCTTTATAGGATAAATTACTATGTTATTACGTCAAAAAGCTATCTCGCTTACTAATTATATTAAATTATCATATCGCTATTGTTGTCTTAGATTTATTAATCTTAATTATATATTTTAAGGTGTCATATTACTCAAATTGGTTAATTAATTTAAGTCGAAAATTAGATTGATGAGATTGAGAAACTAGCTGTTATCCCCAGATTCACCCGCGCAGTAAAAGAAAAAAGTAGTTTAAATCGCTCTCTATGCAACCACCTCCAGACAGAAAGATCATATTTAGGGTAAAACCGGGATAGATGCCTCAGAAGGATAGATGCCCCATTTCTTAAAAACCTAACTTCCTAAGCTCGCGATTAAGAAACAACCGTATAATTAAAAGCCGCAAGCACCCCGCACCTAAGTTAGCCACACACCGTCAAGCGGCGAGGATGCGTTTCGTTCGTATATGAATTCATCTCCGCGGCGAAATTATCAAATGCGTAAAAATTTTAAAGGTGAGTATTTGCTGTTGTATAACTTTTTAAGTAGACATTAATTCCGCCATATTTTTTATTACGTCAATATATTGTTTCATGAAGTATACATTTTGATGTAAATAATCGCTTTTTTCTTTTTTATTTATTTAAAAAATACTTGGGCAGCTATCCCTGTCAAAAAGGATAGTTGCCCTGATTTTTAACGGGATAGATGCCCCTAGGGGCGTCTATCCCTCCATACACCATGTATATCCTGATTGTATTATAAGTGCTTTGAATATACAAGGAGTAGTTTTGAAGTCGTGTCATTTCTCGGGGGCATGTCACAGAAGTCATATAGGTTCAATGTAAGCGAAAATTTCGGGTCAATAGTTAAAAATACGGCTATAATAAATCGTTTAAGTTGGACAATATTTCAGAAAAAGTGGCAGCAATTCTTCTTATTCGAGTTTTATGGAATTAGGAATAATATCAATTAAATGTTTGAGTTTGTGTGTGTTAAGCCGCGTTATAAAGCTAGTTACAAGACGGCGGCGTGTAGTTCGCAATTACGGATTTCCGTAAATTACAAAAAAATGAAAAATATTTACCTACAATTTTTTTATTGATTCGGACTCAGAATCGATAGCCGAGTTACCTCCTAGAAAATGACGTGGCTTTAAAACAACACCTTGTATATTTTTAATATATTTTTGTGTTGTTTTATATTTTTCATGTGTTTATGTATATGTATTTATACTTTATATTGATTTACTTTTGACTAAGTTTTTGGTCTTTTTACTGATTATAGCAGAACTATGCCACGAAAATACAAAATAAAAGAAGGAGTGCGAGCTCGAGTATGTTCTTAAACTACAGTACAACTGCAGCCAGCTATGGAGAAAATGGACAGAAAAATCATGAGGATAAAAGTTTGCTGGTAAAGAACACTAAAATTGATGGCAGGATGGGCCTAAAATACAAATAAATTAACTGCGTAGAATGCTTTGAAAACTATGAACAAACGAAGTCTAAATCCGACTGGATTCAATGTGTAATGTGTCAGTACTGGTTACATGAAACCTGTAAACTTTTCAGAAATAGTTGCTCGAGATGTGGAAAAATTAAAGCACTGTCCGGTTAAATATTATGATGATATTTATTTAGTTATTTTAATTTTTAAGAAAGAATGACTTTTATGATTTTGCTTGTTGAAACTTAATTAGGTATTAATATTTAATAATAAGGATTTAAAATACATATTATTGTTGAACAAATACTTTTAGAATTTCATTGTTATAATTTTAAAATAAAATTTATCTTATTTATCTTATCTATAATGACAATGACAATAAAAAGATTTAAAAAACTGCAAAATACTTTTCATTTCAAATAAAATAAAGACAAAAAATATATAAATAATATTAACATAAAATACTTATATAGTATGAAGGGCATCTATCCCGCACCGTAGGCATCTATCCTTGTTAGTATTTTCAAGGTGGGGCAACTATCCATAGGAGTAGGCATCTATCCCCAAAAATGGAGGTCTACAAAAAGCTAAAATCTGCAAAATCTGTAGTTTATAGGTCCAAATAGACCAATCACAGTAAAACATAAAGGATTAAACTAGTTACATTCATAGGTATTATTTATGTAAAACCAATATTTTTAAAATTAGAAGCATATTTCAAAAAGTGGGGCATCTATCCCGGTTTTACCCTATAGTAGGTTAGGTTCTAATTAAATATTTTGAATAGGTTTAAGTGTGGGAGAGCCATGCCTCGGCACGAAAGGGCTGGCTCGACAGGAGTGATACCACGGCCTTACAGAAAACAGCCGTAAACAACGCAAGCAACCTTATCAGAAGCCTAATTACCTGAATCTAAAACAATCCTCAGATTCCTTATCCCTAAAAGGCCGGTAACGCACTTGTAACGTCTCTAGTGTTTCAGGTGTCCATGCGCCGAACCGATTGCTTACGATCAAGTGATCAGTCTAGTCCATTACCAGCTTATTCCATTAAAAAAATGGATTCAATTTTACAATGATATCACTGTATCGACTCGTTAAAACAACAAAGCTAAAATGTTATTTGTATGTTTATCTATCTCTGAACACGAACAGTCCAAATTAAATAGATAACTCGTTTTTGTATCTGTCAGCTATTTTATTTTACAAAATTATGAATGCTACTGACATCAATTCACAATAAAAAACTCAGGAATAAAATAGACCTGGACAAAATCCTAGTTTATCACTAAACAAAACTTAATTTAAATTACAAAGGTCGCTAACAGACTAAGGTCACAAACGCTTGTTTAATCTGTAGCTTTTAAGCGTGGTACACCTCCACATCGAGCTATACAAAACCAGTTAATCGTGGTCTTGCTTCGTATGATCTTTCCGGATATTCGACGGTCAATTTATAATGGTTTTGTATACCTCCATCTGACCTTATCGTTGTGATAAAGGGACAAAGATAGGCTTAGCCTATTGTTTTAGAAAGGCGTGTCTAATGTCCTTTGTGCTTAATTTAAGTTAATTTCATTGTGGTCTGGACAAAGCGTAGTGTTGGTTGTTGAGATTTCTGCGTGTTAAGTTTGAAGTTCATTTTTTATATTTTTTAAGTATCTAACTACTCAGAGGAATTTAATGGTTACTTGAACATTTTCTTCAACAATTTTGTTCCCATAGCGATTGCCAAGGACTGGATTGATTGACATACATGCATGCTTAACCTCAAGCCTGTCTCTTATGGGGGTAGGCAGTGGAACGCCAATTACTACGATTCTTACATACCTCTTTCACCCATCACATATTCTGGGAGTGTTACCTCTGGCAATATTAACGTAACACTATGTTAATTTTTTCGTCAGCCGTAGCTTATTATAAGGACCTATTGTAATCTAGAACAAATGTCCGTGCGTTTAGGCACTTTTGCCATACCTATTATTGAAAGCAAGTATAACGGCTCACACATAGGACCCACTTAGTTTTTAGTCAAATTTCCGTATTGCTTAGCGACAGGGCTTCTCTCCCAGTTGTACAGTCTCTTTTTGTGCCTTTAGGCTTAATTGATTCTGTATCCTGCAGTAATTCACCGAGGGAAGTGGAAACTATCGTTTTTTTTCTTCTCCTCTTATAGTATCTTCTCATTCACTTCGTTGCGGGAACCAAGACAGTTATTCATGTCCCTGGGACGCGTCGCGCTTCAGTGTTCCTGTGTTTTCATAGTTGTATCTGCTGTAAATCCTGGCTTACAGGAGTTGCAGCAATTTTGGGAGGTTGTGGCGGGCTTGTCGTATAAAAAATACCTCTTTGGCTCAAAACCGCCGAATACAAATATACTCCAAATTACCTCTTTTCATGAATCTAATTCCTCTATTTCTTAATTGCATATCACCCATAGGAAGAGTAGTGGTAGTGACAAATTATTCTACTGTACCATCACCATACAGCAACTTATTATATAAAGACAAAGAAAATTAAAAAGTTAGTACCCACCAAGTTCTTAATAACAGTAGAAACAAACATAAAATCTTTTTATTTTCATTAAGGAAGAAAAAAGTTCTAATTAAGAAAATCTTAATTTAAAAGTTTATTTCTTTATTGAAATGATTATTTAATAGTTACATAAGTTTCAATTACTTTATGTTTAAAAGTTATTGGAAAAATTTCTTAGGGGATTTTCTGATTTACGATTTATGTTGTTCAATGGGTAGAATAATAATAATGATTTTGCATACTTCCTTATTTTCTATGAGAGAATAGAGATATGTTACGTAATTTAACCAGTTGGTACTAAAAACTAAATTATGTTACGATATGAATTATTATGTTTTCGGCTTACTCACGTAATAATTTGACGAGGAACTCGACTAGTTTAAGTAGCAGCGCGACAGTCGCCGCGTCGCGGGTCGCGAAATGCTGCTCATGAATATGACCCTCTAGCAGGCTTGAATCTAGTCGAATTCCTCATCAAATTATTATGTGAGTAAGCCGAAAACATAATAATTTATTTAATATATCTCACGAAAGTTACAATACAAATATGTTACGATATATTATTTCAGTAATAATCGGAAGAATATGAAAAATTCCCTGTGGAAATCCCCAACTAGATTCGGGACTCGAATTTAAGACTAACATAGCTTCGACTTTTTATACATAAACATTCCAATTTTTACACACCTTCATATTTAAGCTTAACCAAACCGAAATATAAACATTCAGTATTTACGCAGTATAAAAAGCTGCCGCTAAAAACCCTAGCAACAGTAAAGTAAGTTAAAATGAATTATCTAAAGTGCCCCAACCTCACTTCAAGCCCTAATCTCGACCTTAGAGGGGACCCAAAAATGTAACTTTGAATCACCTACATCTACTTTCCGGTGCCCTAGTACCGTAATGATAAATTAGAAGGAAAGAAGGCGCTTTTTTTAATATTTAAAAAAGTAAAAGAAATTCTTTAGCCATTTTCATTGTATTTTCATCAAAAATTTTTACTTCGAATCACCTACATCTAGTTTCTGGAACCCTGGTACCGTAATGATAAATTAGACTGGAAGAATCTGGCTTTCTATATCCGAGTAAAAAAGCAGGAGAAAATTGTTCGACATTTTCATTTTATTCTTACCAAAAAAAAATAACTTAATCATTTAGTTTATGCTGCCCTGGTACCGTAATGACAAATTAGAGAATAAATAGCAAAATTCTGAGCTTTTCAAATGATGATATTTCTTTCATCTAATGAACTTCAAAAGAAAAGGTATTCTCAAATAGAAGGCAATGTGGTTTGCTGAACGCTTATTTCTGGGCTTCTATGTTTTCCTAGTACCTAGTTAGGTTTAATGAAGTAAAAAACAGACTGAGTTGCGCACTGATCTCTGGTCCATCTTAAATCTTGATGACGTAATATCACAAAAAGTTGCATCTAGACAGAAATGGTATGCTAAATATTTTTTCCATAAAAAAATTAACAAATTGCACCTTCAAAAATGCCACTAAAGCACTTAGCTATCATCAACATAAATTACCACATAGCATAAAGATAACATTCGTAATGGTTAATTAAGTTAATCATACCGTTATCTCCTGAAGGAGGAACCTCATCAAAACTTGGAGTCATGAAACTTTTCATTAGAGCCTGAAATTAACTGTGATAACGCGGGTTATAGTACCTCTCCTGGGCTTAATGAAGATATTCTTAGGTGGCCGGTGTAAGGGGCAAGGGTTGAGAGGTTATGCCGAATCCTAAACAGGAGCTTTGTACATGAGAAACAATAGTCAAATTCGGTAGTTATTGTTTTTTTTTTTTTTATTATGTCTCTTGGCTTTAAAGGTGACAAGATTTTTCAATAATAAAAGCTCTTCATATTTTTCTTCCTGATCGAATTGAGCAAATTATTGTTGAGTTTTATTAAATGATTGTATCGTCGTTTCATCGTTTTTACTATGTAATAATTATAATTTTTATACAATATCACACTAATATTATGAATGTGAAAGTTTCTTCGTTTGGATGTTCGGATGTTTGTCCGTCAATTACGCTGGAACTACTGAACGGATTTTGATGAATTTTAGTATAATGGCATGGTATGGGCTGACTAGGGTAATAGGTTTATATCCCGATTAAAAGCTCCCATGGGATAAAACAGGCATACGCGAGCAAAGCTGCAAAAAATAACAATAAACAATAATAATTTTATTAATATAACAACCATTCCCGGGGCCCGGTCGATGAGTTGGTTACTCTCCGCCTGCCATTTTTATGTGTAATAATTACATTGTTTTAGCGGGTGCCATAGTTATCCATAGTTCCCAATTTACCAGTCCACAGCAACCCACCCATAGCCGTACCTTTTTTTCCATTATCCACAATAGTTCAACACTAACCGGAGACTGTCCTTGGGTGCATTTCCATAGTGCATACGGGGATAGTCACCGGTTTGTGTGTCCATTACATTTAGATTAAAATTGTCAAAAGAGCCTCTACGCAGTTGGCTTCGGGCCCTCGTACGCCTCCAAAATGACCGGGACCCTATGGTTCCGTGAATGGTAAAGACTACATTTTCTATCAGTTTCGATTGGGCATTTTCTATCTCATTTAAATTTTGCCAAAGAGTTCGTACTTTATAATATTTTTATCGCTTCGCCTATAAGTTAGACCATTCATTTATTAACTCCATATAGCCTAGTACCTCAGAATCCTTTAGCTAGCTCCCATCGTACGTCTCTAGTAATTATACGTAAAATATATACGACCAACATATGTTGACCTTTCGCTTGTTATTATTTGAGAAACTTTTCCTAACTGTGCCTAACTTAATGAGGTCTTTTTATGTTGGTCAGTCTATGTTTACTACCTACTTACATACTTACTTCTAATGCATTAGACAGAATTAAGGTTATCACACACGTAACAAGCACGGGTCCGTCACGGCTCAGCACGGCACCGGCACGGCGTTTTTTGACTGTGACACCCGAAACACCAGGGGCGTTACAGCTACGTTACCGAGGTTTGGGGATTAATAATTAGGGTTGTTGGGGATTCAAAGATTGGGGAGATTGAGGAAGGGCGATAATTGGGCTTCCAGTAACCTCACTAATACGACGAAACATAACACAAGCGTTGTTTCACGTCGGTTTTCTGTGAGGCCGTGGTCGAGCCGGTCAATTCCTGACGAAGCATGTCTCTCCCACACTATTGGTTGTAAAAAGAGGATTTTTGTGGGGTAGTCCACTTATCCGAGAAAAGCCATGGACCACAAAACAGCGCCCACATTACGACCGAAGCTAAACACTGGTTGAAACTATGAGAGATTAACGAGTTGTAAATAAGGATTGAAGCTGGCACTTTGTGCTTAACAGTTGTACTATATAGATTTGAGTCACCAAAATGTACTTATGTTGTGAAGTTAAACTAAAATTTTGGTAAG